ATAATAATAATAATAATAATCCCAGATAGGCCTGAGTAATGATATTTTTCATGTGCTTTAAAGATTAGAATAGTATACAAGTAAATATAAAGATTTACATGCTACATAGATAACTACATAAAAATTTAGGCCATTTGTATCCGTAACACTCAATTCATATATATTTAAATATCTGACACCGAAACTTTACTTTTTACCTTTATATCACTCAAATCCTCATGTTACATCAATAAACCATTACTTCGACTTAAAAAAAACATGAAATACACGTTTTGATGTAAACGTAAGGTGGCATATATGTGCAAATTGAAGTTAAGCTGTCAAATATGTAAATACATGGGAATTAAGTGGTATGTATTTAAATCATCCTAAAAATTTTTTATGTATGTACATAAATCTCCCGATTTTCTTATACTTGGTAGACAACAATCTATTGATGCATGTGGCTTTTGATGACACATGCAGTACAGAGCTACATCATATTCCGAGCAAAAATGAAGAAGCCTTATTTTTCGGCTGGCTCGGAATCACTGGAATGCACTCTTTTCTCTCTGGATGACATACCCTTCGGATCACTCGCATTTTCATCAGTATACGTCGCATTAAAAATGGTACAGAATATATGGTATTTATTCTCACATTATTTGGAAACCTTTGTTATTGATCCTCATCTTTCTCTGCTTGCAGTATGCTGAAGATGTGAAGAATGAGAGGCTTAGGTTTCACTACTGCATCATAAACAAGAGGTATTCAACTCTTCATGCTTCACTTTAAAGCATATATTAAAGGCCCGTTTTACATTACTATTTATTTATTTATTTTTGACAGACCTGGAGCAAGCCTATCTGATCCCAATGGTTTTGATTTGGAACATCACCTGCATTCATGAATTTTCGGAAAGCCTGAGTTTCTCAGGTTAGTGCTTTTACTTCCCCTGTAATTCTTCATAACATGTGTTCCGGATCATGATTTGTCTGCTGCAATGGAGCTTTTAACCACTTTGCCCATCTAATTTAGTAATCCTTCACTAAGGTTAGGGGTTGGGGTGTAAAGTTTCTTTTTATAGATCAGTCCCTTGGTTTATCATTTGCAAATATGCTGTTAAGTATATTATAT